GGCGGCGGCGGCGGCGAGGGCGGCGGCGGCGCGACGATGCCAAATCCATAGTATCCCCACGAACTTCGTTCGGGGGATACAATTAAACACGCCGAACGGAAGCCACCGCGCTACTCTACGCTATCTCCATCTACGCTACACCAGTCTGAGCTCGACTTCAACTAGACTTCAACAATTTAACTAACCTAGACAGACTCCGTAGGTCGCTGCCAACACAGAGCTCTAAGAACGACCGTACCGGTATCTGTACCAGTCACGAGAACGCCGGTAGACCTAGAGTCTAGATATCGTTGTTTTTATAATGTCTCTTGATATAGTTATTGTTCATTATTTATATATCTTAACGCATATTTTAGTCTGGAGTCTGTATTCACCCCTGCATCCCCCCCCCCCAGAGAATAGCCCAACACGTGGCCGGTGGCCTCGCTACCTTGCTGCATCCACAAACATGCTTTTTAAACCTGCTTGTACCCAAACCCTGCTTGAGCATCAGCCACTACGTGCGCGTGCGGGGATGCTGCGCATGTGAGGGATGCGATACGTACTTTCAACGCAACGGCAACCGCTCTGCAGCGCTCTGATGAAGCCCTCCACGCCCGCCGGTCCTTTCAATTGGTCTTCCAGCAAAAACCTGCACAGTGGAAAGAATATGGCATGAAAATAGCACGTGTACGAGATGAATGCGAAAACGAGAGCGATCGAGACAAAGAGAAAGAGAGAGAGAGAGAGAGAGAGAGAGAGAGAGAGAGAGAGAGAGAGAGAGACAGAGAGAGAGAGAGAGAGATAGAGAGAAAGATCGAGAAAATAAGAGGTGGAAATAAAGAGAAAGGGAGAGAGAAAGACAGAGGAAGACAGAGACAAAGACAGAGCGAGTGGTGACAGAAAGATCTATGAAGGTGACAGTAGAGTAGAGAGCAGACGGGTGAAAGGAGAGTGTGTGAAACTTATGGTGGGCCTTCATGCAATATACAGTAGCAGAATATATTACCTTAGTGATAGTGTTTTCAAGTGTATAATTGAGCAAAGCACGTCAATTAAAAATAGAAGCATTCAGTAAGAACGAGACTGAAAATGTAAAAGATCCCAAATGATACAGATCAACATAGGGACCCTAAATATTGAAAGCACTCGAAATAAGCCTATTCATAATTGAAATCTACCAAAATGCTGCTCCCAAATATTGCCGCTGCTATGCTGGCTTTCACCAGCGTCTACCATTACCTCGAGGATAATAGGAAATCCTGCGATCTACTGACACAAGTATCAACACAACAGACTCAATCCTCACCAATGCTTTATCAAATCACGTATGGAAATGTTTTGGGCATAAAAGCTTTGATTGGTTCAATACCTCCCCGCCTGGTACCATCAACCAACGGTTCTCATATTGCACAGACTAAGGCGCAGGCTATAACCATGGCCAATTCATGGTTTATTTTGTCCACTTGCCATCTCCCAAATGAGCCTACTCACCATGTTCGCGCATGTATAACATGTGCACCATGTTTACTCAGCCTCACCCACAGGTGGTATAAAGTCATATATATGTGCATATATATATATATATGCGTGCGTGCTGTGTGTTGTGCGTGTGTGTGCCGTGTAAGAGCGAGGCTGTCCGCGTCGCGGCGTCGCTGGGGTGGTGTTGTTGTGGCGTGCGTATGGCGTATTTTGGGCCAGGCGCATGTCTTACGTACGCGCGCCGTGTGTGGTGCGGGTGTGGAGTGTGTGTGCGTGTGTGTGCGTGCGTGCGTGTACATGTAGTGTGTATGTGCTGTGTGCGTGTGGCTTGTGTTTGTAATGTGGTGTGTGCGTGCGTGTATGTATGTGGTGTGGCGAGCGTGTGTGCGTGTGTGCGTGCGTGTGATGTATGTGTGTGCGAGCGTGTGTGCGTGTGTGCGTGTGTGCGTGTGTGTGTGTGTAGCTAGCGGGAGTGCATCACCACCGGTATATATATATATATATATATATATATATTATATATATTATATATAATATATTTGTGGCGGTAATACCCGGTCTGTTTGTGTTTTCGCTATCAATCGACTCGCGCCGCTAAGTCATTTACCGCGACTAACTGCGTTTGCTTGTCAAGGGTAAGTTCATTGCGTTCTCGAGCGAGGGCGCTCAACAGAGGTGGGTGCCTTCGATAATTATTTTCCAACGGTTAAGTGGCGCGCCGCGCCCCTATGTTTTATCAAAGATCGCTTTCATGGCGTTCGAGCCTGCCGTGTGTTATATACTATCGTTTATAACTGAGTGATGAAGTGCAGCGCGCGCCGCACCGTCTGAGCAGCACCCGTGATGGGGCCAGGTTTTGCCGAAAATATGAGGGAACGCCAATTTTGAGCTCAATGCAGGCAGCAGATGGGTGTGAGGCTGGTACATATATACGTACACGCACCGCACGCACACACGCATTTTGCAGTATTATACCAATGAAACGCTCTTAAAGAGCGTAATGCAGACCGGAAAAAGTGGGCGCTCGTGTAAGTAAGACTGATGATATCGACTTCTATTCCCATCCCGAGTGAATCCAGCTGCAACGTGCGCTTGCGCGACACTACAAACACGCACTCCACACACGCAAGCACGCACGCACACGCACTGCACTCACACAGCGCAAGTCTGCGGCAGCCGGCACGACAACGCAAGTCTGCACGCACACACGCAAGTTTCTGCACAGCACGCAGCGGCACGACACGCAAGCTCACGCGCCCCAAGATCACACACGCAAGTCTGCCACGCACACACGCAAGTCTGAGTACGCCAATCTGCACACACA